GGGTTGGGTGCTCCTCCTAGGTGTTTCACAGTATCCAGCTCTTCTCTCAAGCTCATCATTCATCTTGCACTGTTTTCACTGCCTTTTATTAATTCTGCACTGAAAATTCCTCAAGGGCAGAGTTTATATCTTTTTTTATTTAACTTTTTAATTTTGTTTTCATTTGACACATTATTGTACATATTTATGGGATACATTGTGATGTTTCCATACATATACTGTATAGTAATCAGATCAGGGTAATTAGCATATCCATTATCTAAAACATTTATCATTTCTTTGTGTTGGAAACTTTCAATATAGTCCTTCTAGCTATTCCAAACTGTGTATTATTGTTTTTAATTTTATATTCAGAGGATACATGTGCAGGTTTGTTACATGGGTATATTGGATGATGCTGGGATCTGAGCTTCAAGTGAACCCCTCACCCAAATAGTGAACATAGTACCCAGTAGGTCACTTTTCAACCCTTCCCTCCCCTCCTTCCCCCATTTTGGAATCCCTAGTGTCTATTGTTTCCATCTTTATGTCCTTGTGTACCCACTGTTTAGCTTCCACTTGTAAGTGAGAACATGCGGTATTTGATTTTCTGTTTGTGCATGAATTCACTTAGGATAATGACCTCCAGCTGTATCCATGTTGCTGCCAAGGACATGGTTTTTTTTTTCTTTTTATGGCTGCATAGTATTCCATGGTGTATGTGTACCAGATTTTCTCTATCCAATCCGCTGTTGATGGGGACTTGGGTTGAATACATGACTCTGATATTGTGAATAGTGCTGCAGTAGCACACGAGTACAGGTGTCTTTGTGATTGAATGATTGATTTTCCTTTGGGTAGATACCCAGTAGTGAGATTGTTGGGTTGAATGTTCATTCTGTTTTTAATTCTTTGAGAAATCTCCATTCTGTTTTCCATAGGGGTTGAACTGATTTGCATTCCCACCAACAGAGTATAAGTGTTCCCTTTTCTCTGGATCCTTGCCAACATCTATTATTTTATGACTTTCATAATAATAGCCATTCTGACTGGTGTGAGATGGTATCTCATTGTAGTTTTAATTTGCATCTCTCTGATGACTAGTGATGTGGAGCTTTTTTTTATGTTTGTTGGGCACTTGTATGTCTTCCCAAAGCATTTTTAAATCTCTAGAATAATCTCACGTAAGTGCAGTGCTATATTATTTGGAGTAGAAATTTCTAAAGGCGAATAATGCTCCTTGGACTTAAAGAATGTTTGCTCTAAATTAGATAGTCTATAAAACTGAAAATGCTTTCCTGTTCGAAAGCATGAAACACTATAATCTCCATGCACCATGTAGATATCTTTATGCATTTCTTCTTGGAGCTCTGGTTTTTGTTCTGATGTTTGCCATTACAGGTGAAGCAGCATTGTGTAACAACAATTTCCTCCATGCTATAAAATGGTAAGCCACATGGCAGTTTGCTTGTGATAGGAGAGTTTAGAAAAGGTCCACTGGGAAATTCCAGATCTTCACAGTTCTATCCTCCTCTGTGATTCTCCATTTTCGTTTAATGTATCCTAATTGTATATAATCATTGCTGTCCAGGCAAACGTCTCTGTTGTGCCTCTTCTTTCCTTTGTGTGTGTGTGTCATTTAGTTATTCATGCTAAGGGAGGTTCCCTAAACTCCACCTCTTTAAACTAATAGGGATTTTTCTCATCTTCAGTCTCATGGTTAGAACATACGAATCAACATAATTGTTTCCTAATATCTACATGCCTTCAAAAGAGAAGATCTGACAGTTGCATAAAGTTGTCGATTTTACACACATAATACCTTGATGAAGAGAGTTTCTTAGCTAATCGCAGTGGCTCACACCTGTAATCCCAGTACTTTGGGAAGCCAAGGCAGGTGGATCGCTTGAGTCCAGGAGTCTGAGACCAACATGGGTACCATGGTGAAACCCTGTTTTTACAAAAAAAAAAAAAAAAATTGGTGTGGTGGCGTATGCCTGTAGTTCCAGCTACTCAGGAGGCAGAGGTAGGAGGATCCCTTGATCCTGGGCTGCAGTGAACCATAATTGTGCCACTGCATCCCAGCCTGGGTGACAGAGTGAGACCCTGTCTCAACAGAAGAAAAAAAGAGTTTCTTAAATGTTCAGAGGTATAGCAAAAGAATACTAAAAGGATATTTGGTATTGGTAGAAACTTTGTCAACCCTGCAAATCTTTAAGAGTGGGCAATTTGGAAAAGTGTAGAGTGTAGACTAGTGGCACCTGTGATACCTTCAGAGTGTAGACTAGAGGTGCCTGTGACACCTTGAGCAGCCCTGCGAGTCAGAAAGTCCAACATGGCAATATGAGGCCAGAGACCAAGTGATGCTTAGGATGCTATCTGAAGTCCCCTGAACACATTCGACTTAAGCGTGGATGACAGCTCCTTTGGAATTCAAATTAGGTTATATCTTCAATATGGATACAAAACTAAGACTTCAACCAGAATCTGAGGCAAGAGTATAAGTAAAGGCCTGTGTATCAAGTTATAAACCAAACTGCTAAATAAAATACGTCTTCCTCCCTTAACAAGTATACTTTCATAACAACCCAAGGGCTGCATTTCCTATGCTGGAGTTCTATGACAGAGCATGGTGGCTTGGGGAAATCTTGCCCTCTGGCCCTCTCTTCCCTTTTCTTCCCATCTCTGACTCTATCCTGTCCCCTCACGCCCATGTGTGAGCATGGACACTTCAGCCTATACGTCCATGCCATCCACCTCCCTGACAAACAGCTGATCCTTGGACACCCCTAGGCATTGGGATATGTACCTGATGTCATGGTCTGTCTTCAGGAATGAACCTGGAGAAACTGCCATTGCAAGGTTTGGAGTAAGGCTTGGAGCCCCTTGGACAGAGAATCCCATCATTCCCTCCATGGATCATGCTCCAGAGAGGAAGACTTGGGCCCTGGATGGGCACGTCCTCCTGGCCCCATGGACTCCAGTTCTAATAGAAGCAAGGCCTCCAACAATCCACCCCTTTGCTCTATGGATTTGAGTAGTTTAAGTTACAGATATACCGTTAGTCACTGAGGGTCTTATTACTAGTGGTCAATAATTTCCACATTTTGTTAAATGTACAGATAACAAGGGTTGTGCTATCTCAACCCCTTGACCCATGTTGTATCCTTGCTAAGATAATTCTTATAGGCAAATAACAGATACAGATCATACATTTTACTTTACATGGGAGCATTGCTCTATCCTCTGGCTGTACCCATTTATTCATTATCAGTTGATTTAAGCTGTTAGAACCAACTTTGGTTAGGAATATAGAGAGTAGTTTTAATGCTTTTCTCTTACAGGTTTGGTTTTTCTCTTTTCCTTGATTATAGCACTCTATTTAAGCTGGTTCGCAAACCATCAGTGAAATTCCAGGGACAGCTGAATGGTGCTGGCGGCAAGGGTCCCAGCGAGCCAGACTGGTGGTGTACTGTTAGCCTCCGTCCTTGGTGCTTTGGGCTGTCCCTTACCAGGATCTGATTTGTGACTATTTCTGCCTGTTAGTTAAGCCAAGGCTTAGAGCAGCAAGGACTTTCCCCATGTATGGTATTTAAATCTCCCAACCTCTACATTACTCTGGTCCTTCTTCCAAAGAACTGTCATTGCCAGCACCCATATCTCCTACCACTGAAAGTAGCAGAGACTTTAGCTAACTCCACATGAATGATCAAGTTTTTACATGTTTTTACATTTAATAAAAAGGCAAACTCCACTTTTAAGGATGTGACATAGAGATGTGGTAGCAGAAGTTGCTGTGAAGAACTCTGTCTCAGTTAGAGGCGTCTGCACCTTCAGGAAACCTGGAATTTCTAGAGGCTGTTATTTGCTTACACGTGAGGCAGTGGAGCATAGTGGTTAAGAGCAGGTGGTCTGGCACTGAACTGTGAATTTAAAACCTGGCTCTAGCACTTATCACCAAGACCCAGGTAAGTTATTTAAACTCTCTGTGCTTTATTTCCTCATCTGACAAATGGCAATAGTAACTCCAGATAGTCATATATTAATACATGCAAAGCATTTAGAATAGTACCTGGCACCTTGTAAGTGACAGTGAGTCTTTATTATCTTCTGGGGTAGACATACAATATTTCCATATCCTACAGAAGATGTGAGGGTTCAACAAATACCATTTTTAGTGGCAGTGGGAAATGCTTGGTTCCTACCTGTCATTACCTCTTTGGTTTCAATGCATCTTTATGAAGATGATTCATGATCTTGTGCTTGGCTGTGACTGTGGACCATAGATAGCGCTATGTCCAGTCTCCTGGCGCCATCTTCATCACATACTGCTGACCTTCTGTGGCAGGCGAACCCAGGGCAACACATCACTCTTGTCAGAGGGATGGGAGCTCCTATGACACCTCCTCCTGTGAGGGGCTTTCAAAAACACTTCTTCTGGAAACACAACAAGTGGTGGCTGCTTTATAAGACTGCTGTGCAAGATCTAAGGCGTTCCTTTTCTTTCTTTTAAGCTTTAGTTAAATTAACAAACATTGGTTAAATAAATGGCCCATGACCTTTATCTTCTGAATGGTGGAAGATGCTTTCATATTTCTGCCCTCTGACAGCCCAGTTGTGCCTCTCAGTAACAAGTTGCTCTGTCTCAGATTAGTTAGTGGATCTCATCCATTTTAACACGGTACCATCGTAAGATTCCATGTAAACATTTTTATAGCCATTAACTCTCAACTCCATCTCCATCCATACAGCAAAATATATGTAGACCCTTCACATTCAAAGGCAAATATAATATCATCATGTCTTCTTCTTCCCTCTGATTCACATCGTGCATCACAAAACCTCCAGGAGGAGGTACCATTTTCTCTTTCACTTTAAAAATTGCTTGGGCCTGGAGAATTGACATTTAACTGCAAAAATAAAATAAAATAAAATAAAATAAAGCAAATGTGTTAACAACACAATAATCTTACATTGAACAATGGGGACAGAAATGTAATATGTAACACATTTTCTTTCAGTCACAGAAGATCTTATTAGACGGAATGCTGAACACAATGACTGTGTCATTTTTTCCCTGGAGGAACTCTCCTTGCATCAGCAAGAAATAGAAAGACTAGAACACATTGATAAATGGTGCCGAGATTTAAAAATTCTCTATCTTCAAAATAATCTTATTGGGAAAATTGGTAAGTTTCAGTACTTAGTTCTTATGGTTTCTTTAACATTGTGAATGAGAGAACTTTGGAAAGTGCTGTGTTATTTTTAGAAGAAGACAATCACTGAAAAAGAATTCCATGGGAAAACAGACACAGCCATCTCTCAGTGGCTGTGTGGGGGACATTTGCCTAAACATTTCTGTGTGTAGTGAAAACAATTTCCAACAAGAAGTTGGGAGAGTAGGTAAAGGTGAGGAATACATTAGTTAACCTGATCATCTAAAAAGACAGAGAACACATCAGACCTGATTTTTTTTTTTTTTAAGTTTGAAAGGGAGGAGGTATTTGTCATCGTTTTACATCACACTGCAAGACAAATTTATATGAGAATTGAGGGAGTCCTTGTCAGGTGACTGCAGAATTCAACAGCTAGTTTTGCTATATTTATTGTGACCATATATGTGCAACGCATTGGGTTCAGTATTGGGTATTGAGGGGCTTCCAATTTGGAATGGAAATTAGAGGTAAATGCAGGAATCGGGTCAGTGAAGATAAAAATATCAGCATTATAACTGATAAAGCTCTTCTAAGAAAGTGGCTTAGACTTGCAGCCAAGTGGGCTTGCTAATATTGCCCTCAGAATTAACTTACCCACCCAGTTACATGCAGAATTGGATAACCACAAGTTTCTTCTACCCAGGTGGGCCTTTGCTTTATGTCAGGAGGTAGGTTGAGACCATGTGCTGTCTGCTGGTAGGAAGATCCCAGAAACCAGGAAAGAGGGTAGGACTGGGCATGCTCAGTTTCTTCTCTTGATTAACCTATCAGATAAGTTGGTCTTCCTTCCCCCACCACACCTGACTTCTCTCACAGAAGAATGATGAATTAAAGGGCAGAGGGAAGGGAGGCGTGTGGAGTTACTCTAATGGAGGTCCTGCCACATGGACACAGAAGGAGAATCCCCAGGACCCAGAAAGAGAAAGCACAGGCTCTGGCATCAGGTAGACCTGAGTCAGAACACTGCCTCTGCCGTCTCCCTCTACGCAGTGTGAAATTTGACAAGTCAGTTACTTGGCCAAGTCTTAGTTTTGCCATCCACAAAATGGCTAATAATGCCTAATGTATAAATTGGCATAGGGATTACATGAAATGATATGCTTAGTGCTTGCTCACCATGAGGTAAGTACTCATTACAGGATAGCTGCTGTGCTGCTGCTGTTATCGATTTGATCATTTACCCCACTGTCTCCAGGCTAGCCAAATGAAGGTAGGAGCAGAAAGGAGAAGCCAATGGAGTTGGAGGAAAAGGGATGGAGTCAGGGCTGATGAGGCAGAGTGAGTACCAACCCCTGTGTGCCCTGGCACGAGAACCCAGAGGTCAGCTTGCAGGATTATATTTAACTTCCCATGGTGATGTGCAGTGGTTCACAACAGGGGCATTTGGCAATGTCTGGAGATATTTTTAGTTGTCGCATGTGTATAGGAGGATGGGGAGGGGATGCTATTGGCATCTGGTGTACAGAGGCCAGGAATACTGCAAACCATCCTACAGGGTTCAGGATGCCCCCCCAACACACACACAAGAAAGAGGCCCAAAATGCTAGTATTGCTGAGGTTGAGAAACCCTGGTGATGTGGTTGCTTCTAGTTTCGTGGATAATTGAAAATTGGCTTCAGGCTTGCAAAAAGCCTAGATTTGCATCATTTTTGGAAGATTTACTAAAATTCTCTGTATTTTTTCTGTTAATTATTTTTGGCATCTTTAACTTGACCAGAAATTAGAAACTCTGGCACATTGTTCAATTAAAAAGGCTATTACAGAAAACCACCAGCTTTTATGCATGGGGGCTTGAAAGAACGGTTCTAATTGTACAGATCTAAAAGAGTTCCCAAAATTTTAATCTCCACAGCTGGGTCCATCACAATTACTAATTAGGAGCATGGTATTTCAGTCCTTTTCAGAGCTGTGAGAAAGCTTAAATTTTTGCTTCCAAAGTACTCTTAAATTAAACACTCTTTTAAATCCTAATAATGGGATTTTTCAGTGCTACTCCACCCATAGGCATTTAGGCACTTATTTAGCAAGTAAAACCACCCCTCTAGGATTCAGACTCGCTCTTGTGCCATTGAGGTAGAAGTTTGTGAAGCAATTGCCTTTCCTAAAGCCCTGTTGCCCACGGGAAGACACAGATGGTCTGCGGAGGAAGGTGCTGCTTAGAGGTGACCCAAGAGGGAGCCCAGGGGCCATGTGGGGTCTTGTCAAGTGCCCTGCCCCCAGACCTACTGAATCAGAACCTGTGGGCTCCTGGAATCAACCCTTTCAACAGCTTCCCAATGGGCTGCATGCCTGGGCCAAGCTGAGAGCCACAGAGCTTCTTAAATCCCAGAAGGCAGAGGGTCTACTCCAAGTTCACGGGCCTGCTTAGTTGATGAGAACTGTTTCTAGAATGGTCTCGCTAGAACTCGGAGTCCCTTTTCACTACCCAAGAGGCTCTTCCATTTTGACTTACAGAGCCTTTTTTTCCCCTCTCTGACCAAGTTGGGCCCTGTGGTTTTGAGGAATTAACGTAGGAAACCCTCCCTGAGCAAATCTTACTTTTCTATCATATGACTCCTTTAGCGTTTACAGGGTGGATGCATATAACAAAGGTGGAGAAGGGAAATCCTATTTTGAAGAGGTATTTTATTGTGGGCTGGCCATTTTAACAATAATAAAGTATTTTGTTCAGGATATGGATGAGACTCTCATAGTTCTTAGCACATAGAAACCTCCAAATCTGCTGGGCACGGTGGCTCACGCCTGTAATCCCAACACTTTGGGAGGCTGAGATGGGCGTATCACGAGATCAGGAGATCGAGACCATCCTGGCTAATACAGTGAAACTCTGACTCCAATAAAAATATGAAAATTAGCCGGGTATGGTGGCGGGTGCCTGTAGTACCAGCTACTCGGGAGGCTGAGGCAGGAGAATGGTGTGAACCCGGCAGGCGGAGCTTGCAGTGAGCCAAGATTGTGCCACTGCACTCCAGCCTGGGCAACAGAGTGAGACTCCGTCACTTAAAAAAAAAAAAAAAAAAAAAAAGAAACTTCCTTATCTTTGACTCTTGAATGTTCGGATGTTTCTAAAGAGCTTTTTTAAACATTAGGATTACTTAGAATAATTTAAATTCTGAGAGAAATGTTTGTAGTTTTTTCCCCCAAATCCTCCATTTAAACAATGCATAAATTGAGATTCAGAGATGTGAACTGTTATGTTCAGGTCTATGGAAACAAATATATGATGTTTTGTACATTTTAGATTAACTATTAGTGGTGATAAGGGTGATGATTATAAATCACCATGTTTGAGCTTCATGATACCCCTGAGAAATGGGCAGAGGATGCACTAATTGAGTGAGGCTGCCCCCAGTGCACATTCCTTAGCAAAGTTTTCTACATTCCTGTCATCTTAGAAAGGACTGTTCTTTTAAAGTGTACTACAATGATTTAGTTCCAGGTTCTGGAGTCAGATTTCCTAGCTCTACCACTTAACCTTGGACAAGTGAATTAATTCTCTGTACCTTGGCATTGTGATTTGTAAGAAGGAGACAATAGTTTTGACCTCATAGGTTTATGATGAGGATTAAATAAGGTAATATGTACTAAATGCTTAGAACATTGTGTGACATGTGATAAGCACTCTTGCTATGGTATTATTCACTGTTTTTCAAAGGCCCCATTCTGTAGCAGTTCTGTGACTTGTTTATGCTTGTTGTTCTGCCTGTATGAGCTTTCATGTTTATTAAATAAAATAATTCTGTATCAGGTTGATTTTGGTTTCAAGTCAAAGAAACCCAACTAAATGTGGCAGAACAGTAAGGAAGTCAATTATCTTACCCAACTTTAAGTCTAGAGGTAGAGCAGACTCCAGAATCAGACAGGGTTGGTCGATTCCTTCTCTCTGCTCTACGAGCTCTCAGGCTTTGTCCTGCAGCTGCTTCCCTTATGATTGAGTATAAGTATCAATAGAGATAGTAATTCCTTATTAACATCCAGCAGGAAATAGAGATAAGAACGCCCCAAGCATGGAATATAGATCCTTCCCTTTTATCTGATTAGGAGCACTGGGTGTGCATGTCCTCTCCTGTATTACACAGTTGTCAAGAGACTGCCATGGCTTAAACTTAGGTTCCTGAGCCATCACTAGCGAGAGAGATTGGATTGTCATGCACTGGCCCAACTTGGCTAAACCTAATTGCCTGGAGTTAGGGCTAGGTAGAGACATGAGCAAAACTGGGTGTCATCAGGAAGGATGGAGGGAGCAATGGGTCCTCCTTAGGCAGCCACCATGTCTGATGTACAGGTATAGATTTGGAAAAGCAACATGGTTTTGATAACCATAATAATAATCTTTAGATTTTCTTTATTATTTTAGTAATAGATTACATAAAAGTGTCTTTATTTTGAAGATTATCTTAATTACATTATCTTGTATTTCAGAAAATGTTAGCAAACTCAAGAAACTTGAATATTTGAATTTAGCTTTAAACAACATTGAAAAAATAGAAAACTTGGAAGGTAAGAATGTTTCTTCTATTATGCTATTATGAATTAAAATTGAGATTTAAAGTTAGAAGGTCAGGTGCAGTGGCTCATTCCTGTAATCCCAGCGCTTTGGGAGGCCGAGGCAGGCAGATCACCTGAAGTCAGGAGTTCGAGACCAGTCTGACCAATATGATGAAACCCCATCTCTACTAAAAATACAAATTTTAGCCAGGTGTGGTGGCATGCACCTGTAATTCCAGCTACTCAGGAGGCTGAGACAGAATTGCTTGAACCCTGGAGGCGGAGGTTGCAGTGAGCTAAGATCGCACCGTTGCACTCCAGCCTGAACAACAAGAGTGAAACTCTGTCCCCGCCCCCCACCCAAAAAAGAAAAAAGTTAGATTTAAACAGTCTTGTAAAAAATAGGTATGCTTTTAAAATTAACATTTTACATACATCTTATAGTTATTCTTCTTATAAAAATTCAAGCAATAAGGTGATATGTAAATTCAAAAATGGAAGTCCACTTTACCCCTTCCTAAGTAGCCAGAATTAACACTTGGGTGTATACAGGTAGCCAGAATTAACACTTGGGTGTATACAGGTAGCCAGAATTAACACTTGGGTGTATACAGGGTGATTTTATTTCATTTTGCTTTCTATTAATGGTATCATACTATGAGTATTGTTTTGAAAATTAGTTTTTTCCCTACAATTACCTTGCTTTTTTGATATCCAGGAAAGGGGGTGTGGGGCTACGTACTGGAATCATTGTAGACTGATTTATCTAACCATCTGTCTGCAAATGGACATTTGGGTGCGTTCCAGTGTTTCGCTATAAAAAGCATGGCTACAGTGAGCCTCCTTCTACATTTTACTTTGTGTACATGTGCACAGTTTTTTCTAGGACAGACACTTAGAAATGGAATTCCTGCATTTAAATCAGCATATTTTGAAAGATACTGCCAAATTGTTCTCCAAAATATTTATTGTATCGATTTGTACTTATACTGATAGTCCATGTGAGTACTGATCTCTACACAGCTTCACTAATACTTTCTATAAACAATATTTTTTAAGATAGGAAGATATTTTTGTTTATTTTTATAGTAGCCATCCTATCCTAATAGGTGTGAAGTGGTGTGTTATTGTGCTTCTGATTTGCGTTTACCTAATGACTAATGATGTTGAGCATTTTTTATGTGCTTACTGGCCATTTGAATATCTTCTTTGGAAAAATGTTTATTCAAAGCTTTGGCCCATTTTTAAATTAGTTATACTATTTGTCTTTTCACTGCTAAGTTATAAGTGTACTTTATATATTCTAGATGCTAGACTTTGATCAGATATTTGATTTGCAGATATATTCTTCCAATTTGCGGGTTTTCTTTTCAACTTTTGTGATGGTGACCTCTGGGGCACAATTGTTCCTAGTTTTGTCTGTAGTTTTTTTGTTTGTTTGTTTGTTTTCCCTATAAGTGTCTTTGGTTTTACTGTCTGGAGAGTATGGGCCTTTATAGAATGAGTTGAGAAGTGCTTCTTAATCAATTTTTTTCAAAGAGCTTGTAAAAAAATTTGTGTTAATTCCTCTTTAAATATTTGTTAGAATACACCAGGAAAGCCATCTGGTCCTGGACCTTTCTTTGGGAAAATTTATTGATTATTAATTTAATCTCTTTGTTTGTTGGAGGTCTATTCAGATTTTCTGTTTCTTCTTGACTCAGTTTTGGAAGGTTATGTCTTTCTAGAATTTGTCTATTTCACTTAGGTTATCTCATTTTTCACCATACAGTTGTTTTTACTACTCCCTTGTCATCTTTTTCATTTTTTTAAATGTCAACAGTAAAGGCTCATCTGTCATTCCTGATTTACTAAATTTGAGTGTTCTCTTTTTTTTCTGGTTAATGTGTAGCTAACAGTTCGTCAATCTGGTCAATCTTTTCAAAGAACCAACTTTTGATTTTGTTGATTTTGTCTATTGTTTTATATTCTCTATTTTGTTTGTTTCCATTGTAATCCTTATTATTTCTTTCTCTTTGTGTTTTCTCTTTTTTCTAGTTTCTTAAGACAGACAATTAGGTTATTGATTTGAGTCATTCTTTTTTATGGAGGTATAAATAAAATTATATGAATTTTCCTCTGAGCATTATTTTTTTTGCATCTGTTTTGATATGTTGTGCTTTTGTTTTAATTAATCTCAAAGTATTTTCTGATTTTTTTTGCAATTTTTTTCTTTAACCCATTACTTATATAGCAGTGTTAATTTCCACATCTTTGTGACTTTCCAACATTTTCTTATTTTACTGATTTCTAGTTTCATTCCATTGAGATCAAATAAATACTTTCTTTGATTTTAATTACTTTTAGCTTATTGAGACTTGTTTTATGGCCCAACATTTGATCTATCCTAGAGGCTGTTCCGTGTACATTTGAGAAGAATGTACATTCTGCTATTCTTGGGTTTAATGCTCTAAATATGCGTGTTAGGTCTAGCCTTTGTTTCTTTCTTTCCTACTCTTCTATTTCCTTGCTGATATTCTGTCTAATTGTTTCATCTATTATTAAAAGCAGGTTATTGATGTCTCCAACTATTATTGTTGAATTGTCTCAAGCTCTCTTCAATAATGTTAGTTTTTGCTTTATGTATTTTGGGACTCTGCTCTTAGGTGCATATGTGTTTATAATTATTTTATCTTTTTGATGAATTGATGTTATTATTATTATAAAATGTCATTTTTTGTCTATAGTAACAATGTTTGCCTTAAAGTTTATTTTGTCAGGTATTGATATAGTCACTCCAGCTCTCCCTTTTTTCTTTTTGGTTACCATTTGTATGGTATAACTTTTCCTATCTTTTACCTTTCCAACTATTTCTATCTTTGAATCTAAAATGTTTGTCTTTAAATAATGTATAGATGAATCATATTTTGATTTTTAATCTATCCTGTCAATCTCTGGCTTTTAATTGGGGAGATTAACCCATTTACACTTAATGTAATTAGCAATAAGGCAGAATTTCTGTCTGTTATTTGCAGTGTTTTTCTATATATCTTATGTCAAACTTGTTCTTCTGTTTTTGGATTACTGTTTTCATTTTTGTTATTTTTGTGTGTACCATTTTAATTCCCTTGTTCTTTCTTTTATGTGTATTTTTGAGTTTTTTTAGTGGTTTCCATGGGAATTAAAATTCTAGTTCAAATTAATACCAACCTCATTTCAATAGTATACAGACTTTGCTCCTGTATAGTTTAGTTTCCCTCTCTTCATTTATGCTGTTATGGTCACTTATCACGTCTTCACATATCATATGCCTATTAACATAGATTTATAATTATTTCTTTTTGCCGTCATCTTTTAAATAATTTAGCAGAAGAAAATAGGTACAAACAAAAATAAATTTATGTTGTCTTTTATATTTACTTATATAGTTACCTTTAGTAATTATTCTTATTTTATTAAATGAATTTGAGTTTCTCCCTAGTGTCTTTTCATTTCAGCCTGAAATACACTCTTTACTATTTCTTGTAGCATAAATCTGTTAGTGAAAAACTCTCATTTTTTCTATCTAAAAATATCTTAATTTATTTTCTATTTTTGAAGGGGAGTTTTCCCAGATAGAAAATTATTTTTTGACCATTACATTTTTACCATTTCTTCTTTCCTTCCTCCCTTCCTTCTTCCATCTATCCATCCATCTACCTATCTATTATCTTTTCCAATAACTTTTTTTGTGTTTTTTAAATCTCCCCAAGAACTTCTTTCAATTGGATTTTTAGTAGTATTATACTGATCTTTTGTGCCTTTTAACTTGCATCTTTTATTTAAATTCATTTTTGTTGATATTGTACATTTTGAAATATTTCACCAGATTCAAATTCCAAATAATCATTTCCTTTTCATCCCTGTTCGTTTTATAGTTCAGTCCATCTACAATTAACTCTTTAATTTGGCCATACTTTTTTTATTATTTTAGTTTAAGTTCTGGGATACATGTGCAGAACGTGCAGGTTTGTTACATAGATATACGCATGTCATGGTGGTTTGCTCCACCCATCAACCTATCATCTACATTAGGTATTTCTCCTAATGTTCTCCCTCACCTAGCCCCCCAACCCCCAACAGGCCCCAGTGTGTGATGTTCCCCTCCTGTGTCCATGTGTTCTTATTTTCAACTCCCAGTTATGAGTGAGAACGTGCAGTGTTTGGTTTTCTGTTCTTGTGTTAGTTTGCTGAGAATGATGGTTTCCAGCATCATCCATGTCCCTGCAAAGGACATGAACTCACCCTTTTTTATGGCTGCATAGTATTCCATGGTGTATATGTGAATTTTGGCCATGCTTTTTATTCTTCTGAACTTACTTCTGTGTTCTGATTATTTCGTTCCTGTGGTGTGTATTCTTATTTTATGGATGAGATATCTTCTAAATCTCTTTGGAGATACTCGTTAGAAATTTTCGCTGCCATTTTTTTTTTTCATCCCCTGAATTATCTTCTTCATCTGAGGTTTTCTGTTTTATTTTGCAGACTTCTATCTTGTGCTATTTTTCTCTAAATGTCTGATAACATTTGGTGTCTGATTACAGTCACAAAGGATTTCGTGTATTAGGTGGCTTGTGTGACTTATTCTGCAGTTGTAAGGTTCTGCTTGCCTATCCAGCCTCAGCCTGCCTGGCAGAGCCACTGTGCACTCTGCCAGTGGGTGGGGCATGCTGACTGGCAGACTTCACTTTAGAGTGCAGCCATGGAATAGAGGCAGACAACCTGTTCTCTTCACCCCATTGCCATCTGCTAATAGCTGAAATTAGGAGGACTGTACTTAGGTCATGGCAGATTTTAGCCTATTTGCCTACTAGGGTAAAAATGGATATTCCAGTGATTATCAAGGTTAGGTATTTACAATTACATAAATCTGCCTCATATATTTTCATTTTTCCTTCTCAAAAAATTACCATTACCAAAGCCCTCAAACCTGGCCTCAGTTCTGGGATCAAGATGATCCTTTTAATCATTGGCATTTTTCTGCATTAGAAGAG